ATGCACTAAAGCCTCAAGATCAGCAGTCTTCTGGGCTTGTGCGTTCATCTGCTCAGCTTGTGCGTTCATCTGCTCGGCTTGTGAGGCAATCTGTTCGGCTTGTGAGGCAATCTGTTCGCCTTGCACAACTACTGTCTCCTTTAAAGCCACGACCTCAGCATACCATACCCCTTCAGGTAACCTGGCCTCCTTCCAAGTACCTCAATGGAGATCTCAAACTCATTCATCGGGGATGTAACTTCGGGCTGAGATTGTTCAATAGTCTTGTTGACTAATCGCTCCTGTCATTTTTAAAGATGTAAGATCCATATCATTAATGAATAGATATAAGTTTTTTATAGATTGATTTAACAAAAGTAAATTTATAAGTTTTTTATAGATTGATTTAACAAAAGTAAATTTATAAGTTTTTTATAGATTGATTTAACAAAAGTAAATTGGACATACGTACATAGGTATCTTGTGCTTTCTCGTTTACCCATTGTAAGGACCATGAATTTTTAATACTAGTTAAAATAATTTTTCGGGTATTTAAAATATTAAATTATTATTTTCAAAATAGTATTTATGTTTTACTTGATTTCCTAGAATTTTCTATGATTTAATAATACCATTTTATGTTTTACTAATTATAATTTAATTATTGAGGTAAAAACTTTTTAAATAAATATATGTCATCCATTATTATTGTTATTCATTATTATTATTATTATCATTATTATTTGTATTGTATTAATATTCACCTTAGCTTTGTACTTTAGCATATATATAAATATTTGGTTGTTAATATTTTGTTAGTAATATTATTTGATTAATTGTTATTATAATTATCATGATTACGCATATTATATTTGATTTGTATTATTAATCGTGATTGATATTATTTTTTCCACGTGCATGCGTATCTATGTGTATATACCCCTAAACCTAACCCTAATCATCTCCTACCTCTGGCCACAAATCTCTCTCCTTCCATATTCTCTCATTTTCAAATTTCAAAACCAATCAATCAAATATACCCCTAAAATCACGTTGATACTTACCATATCTCTCCCGTACTCAATCTTTTCTCTCCATATATTTTCTCATCTTTTTCTCTCTCTAAATCACAACAAATCCTATCTCTCCCGTACTCCCTCTATCAAAATACACATATAATATTTAAATCATCATCTCTCCCCTCTTCTCACGTCAATTCTCCCTCTCTCCTCCATTTCCCAAGAGCTTCAGCCAGCTCCCCACCCTCTCCTCCAAGTTCGCCGCTACCTCTCCATCGCCGTTGCGCCGCCGCTCAGTCTCTCCCCTCCACGTCCAACTCCCCTGCGCTGCCTCCTCGTCGGCCTTCTCTGCTCGACCGCCTCCGCCTTCGCGCTCAACCCGCCGCCTTCACTCGACACGCCGTCGCCCAGACCGCCGCCTGCTCCAACCCCACTTCGCCGCCTTAAGCCGACGAACAGTTGCCGTTCTCCACCCGCAGCAGCCGAGCGCCGTCCTCAGCTCCGCCTCCCCACTGTTCGCCGCTTTTCCTCCCCCAGCGAGCAGCTCCACCGCCCCCTCCTCCTCGTCGAACTCCAGCCACCCATGAGCGTCCATCGACCCCCAGCTCACCCGCCTCAGATCCACCTTGCCCTCACCGTGACCCCCGCTGCTCGACCTCCTCTCCAACCGCAACCACCAATGCCTCTCCTTCGTCGCACGCCACCTGTTCGACGATATACCGACGCAGTCCAGACCCACCACAGACGTCGCTTGAGATCCGTCGTACCGCGTCCGCATCGGCGCCACCGTCTCCTCGTCAGACCCCACGGTCTCGCAGGCAAGATCCCGCTCTCCCTATTTTATGGTTTGAATATTTACATTATTATGAATTATTTGCATAGTTTAATTATGACGTAATTATCTGCGTGGGTTGTTTGGTGAATAATATTGGTTTAAATAATAGATATGTGATAAATAGTGTTTTCGGAATAATTATAATAAGTTAAAAGAATTTAATTTAGTAATGGATTTATTTTAGAGAATTTATAATATTTAAAAAGAATTTGTTTTGAGAAAAAGAATTATTTTAGATTTTTATAATGAGAGATAATTTTAAAGAAAATTATTCTTGGAATTAATAACTGAGATTTTGATTTTCGTGTGCAAAATATTTGTTAATGGTAGTTTCATCTTGTACTGTTAATAGTAGTTTAACTCTCGTATCACTACTAAATAATGAGGTATCCTAGACGGAAAATTCTGTCTAGGATACTCAGAATTCCGTCTAGAATGCTTATTCTAGACGGAATTCCGTCTAGAATATGCGTCTAGTATGTTTCCGTCTAGAATGTAGTATTCTAGACGGAAATTCCGTCTAGAATACTTCCTAGACGGATTATTCTAGACGGAATTTAAAACCGTCTAGAATACATCCTAGACGGATTATTCTAGACGGAATTTCCGTCTAGAATAATTCATCCTAGACGGAAAAAATTTCCGTCTAGAATGAGTATTCTAGACGGAAATTTCCGTCTAGAATACTCATTCTAGACGGAAATTAATGTTTTTTAATTTTTTTTAAAATTTCTTTTTAAAAAAGGCATCCTAGACGGAATTTGAGCATCCTAGACGGAATTTCCGTCTAGGATACTGTGCTACAGTTTTTTTTTTTTGCTGAATCTACTTTTGGTGCATATACACAATATTGAACAAAAAAAATTATATTCATATCCAACACAATCTAATTATATTCCAATATCAAATCTCATTATATTCAAATAATACATTCACCAAAATAGTAGAGAGATACATAAATTGTTTACAAACTTTTACATAAATTATTTACAATGGCTAAGACTACATAAATGAAAAAATGTTGCATGTTAATAATATGTCAATAACTCGTGAAAAATAAATTCCATTACAGATCTATATACATATTCTCCAAAAGAATCATTAACAGATGTTCCACGGTAATGCAAAAATAGTTCGAGCAGTCATTTTACCAGACAATCCACAATTGAAACATGCCTCAACAGCTTCATTCTAGCATTCTCAAATCCTGGCACATCACACAAGGGACTGTCTTCTTTTCCTCTTCCATAAGCCCTGCATGCATGTGAATCTCATCAAACAGCGAAAGATAAAACAGACAAAAATCGGAACTTGTCCCATCAACAATATCATACTTGTAACACATTGGTCGAGGACATCTATGACAAAAATCGGAACTTGTCCCATCAACAATATCATACTTGTAACACATTGGTCGAGGACATCTATGAAGTTCACATTTATAAATCTTTGATATCATACTTGTAACACATTGGTCGAGGACATCTATGAAGTTCACATTTATAAATCTTTGCATTAGCGTAACCCAGTTTGATAGTGATATATAAACCATGCATTATGAAAGTATAAAACTCATATTCGCTGAAGGGATTATGTATCCTGTTGTCGAAGCAGGACAATTATCTAGAATAGATAATATATAAGTCATAAAATTCAGGGGAAAAAAACGCTAAAATCAAATTTAGCTCTCGAATTGGTTCAAGATCTAACATTTCCTTTCCTTTTTTTTTTGTTAATAAGATAAATGACACGTGATAACCAAAGTAATAAATTCTAGTCCAGAAATGAAATGATATATACTAGAAAAATAATCTTGATGCTAGATGCTTACGTGAGTCACAATACTAATAATTAGTATAATTAGTAGCAACATGAAGAGGATGTTCAGTGTGTCATAGGGCTTAACACTTACAATACTTGTTATTGCCAGGTTCTCTGCATTTTTTATTCCAAAAGAGGTCAGCTCCCGTAGAGTTGCCTACATCAAACAGACGTTATGTCACAAAAACACTTATTATTAAATTTGACGACGAAAACAAATATCAGAAGAAAATATAGATTAAATCATTCACCTAAGCACTTGCCCAGAACTTCATCTTAATGGAGAACTAACCACATGGCGTGACACATATGGTTAAGAACTCCATATTTTTGGCCCAACCAATTTGGCTCAGCCGGTCAAGTGCTCCTTCAACAGCATCACCATCTTTCTGCAAAAAAAAAATGAACTCCATCAATCCAAGTGCAGATCCAGGTGCAGATGCAAAACGCGCTATAAGCTAACAGTTTTGTAGTAATTTTGGTTGAAGCTTTGCGCATTCTATTAACAACAGTTTCTTTAGAAAAAAACGGTGCTTGTATGAGACATGTAGAAAGAACAAAATGAAATGGGACACAGTACAGATTCAGTAAGTGGTTACTACAACTAGCTTAATAGTTATGAGTGTTAAATAGTATGATGCACATTAATTCTTACGAGTGTTAAATATTATGATGCACATTAATACAACAAAGTGCATTGCGTTGCCTTGGTTTTCTCTTCTCCACTAATCCACATTAACTTGCAGCTTCTTGAGATTACCGCAGAAAAAATTAAGGACCACACAAAGACAGTTGAATCCATGGTATGTTAATCAGAAAACGCCGTGAGGATCCATGAATCATAGACGCAGGTAGGCACATGAGTCAGACGAAAGAGCATGAAATTAATACGTACCCATTTACACACGGATGCAGGCATAATAGGATTAAAATTTCCCCCGCAACAAAAAGGAAGCAATCCTCCCAGTATCAAAAAGGAAATCCCAAAAAATTAAAGCCTCGTCTATCCCATTTTTTTTTATATTTTTTTAACGAGATGTCCTTACCATTTTCTATAATTCGAATTAAGACGATAAATTTCCACAATCTAGCGATAAACATCATACAAGGAAACCAAAAAAAAACCCTAGAATTCCCACATGATTAAGATCCCTTCCAACACAGTCCGCAAGAGCGATCCTTTTTCAATTAAGAGACAAACATAAAAGAACATAAACCTTAAAAGAAATCAAATTAAGGGGAAATTTCGAGAAATCAGGATTCAACCTTGGCAATGGCGGCCTCGAGTTTGACGAGAAATCACCTCCGACGACAACGGGATCAGCGTGTTCACGTCCAGCTTACTAAGGTCTTGCTCCATTAATCCTTTTCGAGACATATTCGCTTGATGACGACAGAGATGTTGGTGCCGGCGAGGGATTTGAGGATGGCGGGGTCGGCGCCGTAGAGGCGGAGCATTGAGATCGAGGTCGAGAGGAGGAGCTTCGCGGTCGCCTCCGGTGGCGGGAGATTGTCGGCGACCTGGCCTTGGAGGGAGAGGGAGTAGAGGGGGAGGGAGGGGCCGGGGTGTGAGGTTGAGGATTTGGGGGGATGAGGCTGATTTTGGGATAAAAATTTCCATTTTGGGGGGACAAGGAGGCGGTTAATTTTATTTGACGGATTAATTTTTTTTTAAAACTGGTCAGTTATTCTAGACGGAAATTTCCGTCTAGAATGATTATCCAAGACGGAAATTTCCGTCTAGAATACATGGTTATTTAAAAAAAAAAATAAAAAATAAAAGAACCGTCTAGAATAGTATTCTAGACAGAATTTTCCGTCCAGAATGTTTTATTCTAGACGGAATATTCTAGACGGAAAATTTCCGTCTAGTTTAATACATTCTAGACGGAAAAAATTCCGTCTAGAATATTCCGTCAAGAATACGTGATTTTCTACTAGTGTATGTTTCTTGCATGTGATCACGATTCCTGTTCACACTTTATGACATTGACACTTAGCGTAACTGCATTTATTATTCCATGTTGAGATTCGTGAGAAGTACATGACTATAGTGACCTGTATGACACAGTTAGGATCTAGAATCTCGTGTGTAGTTGACCTGGAATTACGAGAATTGGGATGAGAAGTCTTGGTCCATGTGAGCGGTTGGGGTTGTTGATGTATATTCCGGGCTCGCGCCGGTGAAGTTTGTGTAGTCACCGGGGTGGGTCCGAGGAGTTGTGATATGTGATTGTTGATGTATATTCCGGACTCGCGCTGGTGAAGTTTGTGTAGTCACCGGGGTGGGTCCGAGGAGTTGTGATATGTGATTGTTGATGTATATTCCGGGTTTTGTTGGCGTGGGGCCCATGCCAGGTCACGTCCCGAGATCCTCACCTAGTAAGAAGTATATTTCGACAATTGTGAGATACATATTTCATATTTTCATCGTGGAAGGGGACTATTCCTTGAGCCTTATCCTTTTCTGGGATAGATTTTCTTTCGTCCTATCGTTCTCACTCGATCTTTGACTCCGGAACTTTCATTATTTTCTTGTCTCGTAATTCTTCCATTGTTTCTTAATTTGCTTGTCTCATCTGCTTTCGATGGATATCATTCTAATATCTGTCCCTGGCGGACTTTCTTATTTTACTTCCGAGGGCGGGAATTATATTTTAAGGCGGGGTAGGATGTAATGGACCGTGAATTTCTGATACTAGGTCTAAAATAATTTCTCAGTATTTAAAATATCTTAATTCATTATCTTATAAACGATATTCGTACTTCCGATATTCTATACTTCTCTATGATTTAAAACATCTGATTATATATTTATTATAATGATTTGAAATTTATAAATTTGTTTTGTGCCGCAAAAAATTTCTAAAAATTAACTTTTCGCGTTATTATCCCGGGTACTTGTTTCGTATTTTTAAATAAGTATATTGTACTGATTTAATATTAATTAGCCAATATTTCTGCTATATACTTTGTATTGATTAATTACGCTATTGTTTTTTGGTACTAATTATTACATATTTTTAACTATTCATATTACGCTATCTATTAGTAATAACTAGTACCGTTTTACTGCCGTACGCTAATTGTCCCATAAGTATTTGATTTAAATGTAAGTAAATCTATTTTTATTTTTAATATTCTTGTTTTTATACCAATATGGGTATTATTTGTCTTTTCTTTATCAGCTATTGTATTAGCTTAACATAGTACGTTTTTATTTGTAGTTAAAATATTATGTGATTAGTTTAATTTTAAATACCCTTAACTATTTTGATTTAATTAATTTTTTTAATTATAATCCCTTAACCTAACCTAAATCTCTCCTCTATATATTCTTCTCTTTCTTTTCACCGTGAGCACCAAAAAAAAACCCAGCCGCATAATATCTTCTCTCTGCCTCCTCTCTCATCTCTCTCTGCTCTCTCTCTGTTTTTCGTCCGCAACAACCCAACACCCGCGACCCTCCGACCGAAACCACGATCCACCGCCCATTCCTCCCTCAACCTCTGCCTGCACGCGTGGCGAGCCCAAGCCCCAACCCCATCTCCGCCCTACGCCCGCCTCGCCCAGGCCCCGCTCACCGCCCGCCTTCCAACCCCGGCGGCCAACCTCCTGGCGCCACCAGCCGCCTCTCGTGACCACGCCGTCGCCCAGACCCCGCCTGCTCCAACCCCACTCTCGCCGCCTTAGCCGACACGAACAGTTTCGCCGTTCTCCACCCGCAGCAGCGAGCGCCATGTCCCAGCTCCGCCTCCCACTGTTCGCCGCTTTTCCTCCCCCCACGTGAGCCAGCCTCCACCGCCCCCTCCTCCTCGTCGCAACTCCAGCCACCCATGAGCGTCCATCGCCACCCCCAGCTCACCCGTGCCTCAGGCATCCACCTTGCCTCACCGTGACCCCCGCTGCTCGACTCCTCTCCAACCGCAACCCACCAATGCCTCTCTTCGTTCGCACGCAACCTGTTCGACGATATACCGACGCCAGTCCACACCCACCACAGACGTCGCTTGAGATCCGTCGTACCCTCCGCCCATCGGCCCGCCCACCCTTGCTACTTCCTCGTCAGACCCCACGCGTCTCGCAGGCAAAGCATCCCGCTCTCCGCTATTTATAGCGTTTGAATATTTACATTATATGAATTATTGCATAGTTTAATTATTGACGTAATTATCTGATGTGTTGTTTGCACCCTGTGAATAATATTGGTTAAATAATAGATATGTTAAATAGTACGGTGTTTTTCGAATAATTATAATAAGTTAAAGAATTTAATTTTGTAATGAGATTTATTTAAGAACTTTATAATATTTAAAAAAAGACATTTGTTTGAGAACAAGAATTATTTTAGATTTTCTATAATGAGAGATAATTTTAAAGAAAAAATTATCTTGAATAATAAACTGAATTTTGATTTTCGTCGTGCAAAATAATTTGTTAATGGTAGTTTCATTCTTGTACTGTTGAATAGTAGTTTAACTCTCGCTATCACTACTAAATAATGAGGTACCTAGACGGAAAATCTGTCGTAGGATACTCAGAATTCCGTCTAGATGGCTTATTCTAGACGGAATTCCGTCTCTAGAATATGCGTCTAGTATGTTCCGTCTAGAATGTAGTATTCTAGACGGAAATTCCGTCTAGGAATTTTTTTTTACTTCCAGACGGATTTCATTCTGGACGCGGAATTTAAAACCGTCTAGGAATACATCCTAGACGGATTGATTCTAGACGGAATTTCCGCTCTTAGATAATTCATTCCTAGACCTGGAAAAAATTTCCGCTCTAGAATGAGTATTCTAGCACGGAAATTTTCCGTCTAGATACTCATTCTAGACGGAAATAATGGTCTTTTTAATTTTTTTTAAAATTTCTTTTTAAAAAAGGCCATTCCTAGACGGAATTGCAGCCCATCCTAGACGTGAATTGTCCGTTTCTTAGGATACTGCTCGCTACATTTTTTTTTTTTTGCGAATCTACTTTTGGTGCATTATACACCAATATTGAACAAAAAAATATATAATTTCATATCCAACACAATCTAATTATATTCCAATTATCAAATCTCATTATATTCAAATAATACATTCACCAAAATAGTAGAAGAGATACATAAATGTTACAAACTTTACATAAATTATTTACAATGGCTTAGACTACATAAATTGAAAAATGTGCATGTTAATTAATATTCAATAACTCCGTGAAAAATAAATTCCATTTACAGATACTACTATACATATTCTCCAAAAGAATCATTAACAGCATGCTTCCCGGTAATGCAAAAATAGTTCGAGCAGTCATTTTACGCATCCACAATTTGAAACATGCCCTCAACAGCCTTCATTCTAGCATTCTCAAATCCTGGCCACATCACACCAAGGACTGTCTTGCTTTTCCTCTTCCATCAAGCCCGCATGCATGTGAATCTCATCAAACAGCGAAAGATAAACAGACAAAATCCGGAACTTGTCCCATCCAACCAATTTCATACTTGTAACACATTGGTCGAGGACATCTATGAAGTTTCACATTATTAAAATCTTGCCATTAGCCCTAAACCCAGTTGATAGTGATATATACAACCACTGCACTTTCGAAAGTATAAAACTCATATTCGCTGAAGGGCATTATGTATCCTGCTTGTCGAGCAGGACAATTATCTTAGAATAGATAAATATATAAGCTCATAAATTCAGATTCTCAGCAGGAGTGCCCTGCAGACGGAGCAGAAGAAGCTGAAGCTTAGTTATTGGTCCTCCGTTTTCTTTTGTACTACCTTCCATTTCTATTTGATCAGTTTATTTTGTATCTTTTCAGTATTCATTTGTTCATATTTGTATAAGGGCATGTTTGACCTGAATATTATGTCTCGGATGATATTCATTTGTGATATGTATCTTTTCCATTCTGAGTTGTTCATTGTATTCTTGCTATGTGTGATCGGGGACCTGTGACTTCGTATTGTTTTATTTCCAGACGCTTAGCGTATTAGATTGAGAAGACGAAGTCTAGCACTTATCTCTCCTCAGTCTAATACGTCGCGGGCTTGTTCACGTCACGATTCCCTGGTATTTTGGGAAGCGGGGCGTGACAATATGTTGTATTATTATTATTATTACATATTATTTCGTATAATATGTTGTATTATTAATTATGTATTATTTATATAATTTGTTGTATTATTTCTTCTATTGCATATTATCCGTCGTATTAGTGTAACCGATACGTTTTACTGTATGGATAATTATCCCATAATTATTTAATTTTAAATATAAGTAATTATATTTTTATTAATTATTCTTGTTTCATCGTGTAATTTCTTACATTATTTCTACTATTGCGTATTATCTGTTGTAATACTACAAGTAGTATGTTTTGATATATAGATAATTTTTACATAATTATTTAATTTTTTCTTGATTATATAT